CTCAAACTAAAGTTAGGATAATATAATTGACATTGCTGGATTCCTTGTAAGACCAGGAATATTTTGAATATAAATGTCATATATTTTTCACAAAAGATAACATAATTACCTAGAGAACAATTTTTATCTAAAAATTGTATGTTTAATGCAAAATATATGTTGTTTATATTCAAAATGATCACCAAATTATAAGAATTCCAGCAATGTAAATTATATTCTGACCGGGTAATTTGTATGAATTTTATGAGCTAAAACAAATATCTTCAGTTAATAAAAAAAAAAATAATTCTTCACAGGGTAACAGATGGTCGGTCGGTCGGTCCCTCCCTCCCCCCCACCCCCCACCAACCGTCCCAAGGAGATGTGTGGGATAACCACTAAATTTTAATAAATAATACCTCAAACTAAAGTTAGGATAATATAATTGACATTGCTGGATTCCTTGTAAGACCAGGAATATTTTGAATATAAATGTCATATATTTTGGACAAAAGATAACATAATTACCTAGAGAACAATTTTTATCTAAAAATTGTATGTTTAATGCAAAATATATGTTGTTTATATTCAAAATGATCACCAAATTATAAGAATTCCAGCAATGTAAATTATATTCTGGCTGGGTAATTTGTATGAATTTTATGAGCTAAAACAGGCAGTCAGGCAGGGTGGCGGGTGGGGGGTGGTGCGAATCTAAAAATAGCTCTCGAGCCGGACACTCACCGCGTATATGATGAAAAATGCCGCGTTAAGTGAAAGTTCAGCTTTGGCAAGGCACCGCGTATATGCGAAAACGCGTTAAGTGAAAGCGCGTTAAGCGGGGTAAAACTGTACTGTACTATACTGTATTGCATATGAAGGGTACAGGTATTAATAAGCACAGATTATTACGGTAACTTATCTTTACTAATTAATGAAAAACAAATAAACAATATTGTATCATGAATGAGGTAGACATTGAGATGACTCTTGTGGGAGAGGGGTGGAGTGGTCACTTTACGACCCCCCCCCCCCACGGAGGATAGAATAACGCTTATAAAATGTCACTGACTTGATTTACAGGAATATAACTTGTATTGCTGAAATTCTTGTTCTTGTAAGATAATAATTAACTTAGTACATTTGAATACATTTACTTACTTTTATTTTTATCCTCTTCACTACTGACCGGCTCTTTAGCCACTTGGGCGATCGGTTACATCTCTGTTAGGCACTGTTGGCAAGTACAGGTTGTGATAATTTATGTGGTTGCTCAGAAGTTGTGGCTGCAGTTTCAAAGCTTCGTGACATCACTAGTGTATAATGAGTCTCCATATGCCCTGGTTTATTCACTGATCAGTTGTCTAAGTGTAAAAGTAACCCTGTCGAGCATCATCTATCAATTAATTTTAAAATATAAATTATAAAGTAAAATGTTATAAGACAATGGTTTAGTAGTGCTGTTATTGTGTGTGATGTGTAATTGTCATGGTATGTTACCTCACCACCTGACTCCTGAACAAACTCTTTATCAACTTCTACAATGTGCTTGGCGCACGCACGCACGCACGTACACACGCGCACACACGCGCACACACGCGCACACACACACACACACGCAAAGATTATTCTCTCCCCTTCCTACTCCACATATCAAGAAGCGCTCAACACACTGACCCTTTCGACTCTCACTGACCATCACCACGACCTCATCTGCAAATTTGGTAAGAAGCTTCTACACCATCCTCGACACCGGCTCCTACTACCACCTGAGATCCCTAGCCCGAAAATTGCTGTTCGACACCACAACCGCATCCAGCCCATACGAGCACGAACTGATAGCTATAAGAACGGCCCAGTCCCAACCATTGTAAAAATTATCAATAACTTGCAATAAACCAGTGTATTCACTCCCAGTAAATACTACTCCTTGCACTGTCACTATGTTGAAATGCACTGTAGTTTGAGCTTTTCCCCATCTAGTTATTATATATCTTATTTGTATCACTTATGTTACTTGTAAATTATTTGTAATTCGTAACCCATTCCCCAAATATGTAACTGTATATTTTCAGCCTTCTGGCTGCCAAGCTCTTTCAATAAACCGTTAATTATTATTATTATTACACACACACACACACACACAAATTAAGACAACAAGCATCCAGTGAGGGTCTTGTTGTGTGATTGCTTGGAGGCGAATTAAAAGATCAGTGTTGAGGAGCTTAGCACTTGGCAACACTGGTGCATGTTACCACTCCATCTCTCTAATGACCCACACCTTTCTGCTTCTCACTCTATATTTTAAAATGTTATGTAACGTAATGTTGAAGGGATACAACTTTGCTCATTTATACTTATAATCATCACAATTTCCGGAAAATCTGAGAAAATTTTCCAGATACCCAGAAAATTCCGGGGATGAGGGATTTTTTCCGGCTTTGAGAGTCGTCTCATTACCCGGAAGTGCTCTGCACCAATTGTTCCAGCTAACTAGATATCACTGTATCAATATTAATTTTTTTTATGAGGAATGTGGGTTTGAGTCATTGCAACACTATCAGTACCTGTCCCTGTCTAGCACTTCCCACACACAGGTGTCCTCAGGTAATTTTATTACTTCTGGTAATCATAGAGAACAAGTTTATGAGTATGAGGCATCAATATGGTGATGGTGGAAACAAAAGAGTTCAATCATGGTGGTCTTGTATCATCGATTTTACCATAATGATTTTGTGGTCCAAATCATCGTCGCTACTCCAGTCCCCTGCACCACATGATGCACCTCACTCCTAGCTGGTACAGTGGAGAACCTCTTCTACCTCACTGCAAATGCCAGATACAGTATTTTATGGCATAAAAGACACATGGTGGCCATATAAGACACATGGCGGCCATATTAGATGCATGGCGGCCATATAAGACGCATGGCGGCCATATTAGATGCATGGCGGCCATATAAGACGCATGGCAGCCATATAAGACGTATCGCGGCTGTAAGGACTGTAACGAGCGGGATGGTTGTCCGCCGCTCGCTTGCTTGTTTGCGGCCCCACTAGGGGGAGAGACGGAGGTGAGAAGGCCACTGCTGCCTTGTAGCCAGGGAGACATGATCCAGCCTTCACCACAGCTGTACTTCACCCCGCTGTTTTATCCCAACTCTGGTTGTGTACTCATCTGAGGTTCCTGGGGCTCCTGGGCTGATTCCCCGGTCCTTCACTATTCGACTGTCAACTCCGGTCACCTGCTCCTGTTACTGCCACGGCTGCCACGTGATCACCACTTCCTCCACGCCCTATCCACCGTCCGTGCCCTGGCGTCTCTCTTGTGTGGCAAGACATCGCCCACCAACGCCGGCTCCAAGTGAGGAAGCTGCCCTGGACCTTCCCCCTGAGAGCAGATCACCGCATTACCAGAACATTCCACCTTGCTGGGTAGGAGTATTCATCTGCAGCCATAGGAAATACCTGTACAGTACTTTGTTGTATTGATTGTTTTGTTTCAAGTAATTGTTTGACTCCAGTGTTGTTTATTTAATATTTGTGTGAGTGGTGTCAGTTAAATTATTGTGATTATTTTCGTAGTAAAGAGATGTCAATCTTTAACGGTTGTTTATTACCCCTTGGAAACCCATGGTTCTTGACTTTCCTTTTATAAGATTCTGAATAGGCTGGCAAGGGATTTATATCCTACAGGCCAGGCCTTTACAGCGGCCATATAAGACGCACGGCAGCCATATAAGATGCATGGCGGCCATATAAGATGCACAGTGGCCATATAAGATGCACAGTGGCCATATAAGACACATGGCGGCCATATAAGATGCACCGTGGCCATATAAGATGCATGGTGGCCATATAAGATGCACAGTGGCCATATAAGACGCATGGTGGCCATATAAGATGCACGGCGGCCATATAAGACGCATGGCGGCCATATAAGATTATAAGATGCAGGCCATGCCATATAAGATTGCATGGCGGCCATATAAGACACACGCAGCCATATAAGATGCACGTGGCCATATAAGGGGCCATATAAGATGCACATGGCCATATAGACACATGGCGGCCATATAAGATGCAGCCATATATAAGATGCACATATAAGACACATGGCGGCCATATAAGCCATATAAGGCATATAAGATGCACATATATAGACACATATAAGACACATGCGGCCATATAAGATGCACAGCGCCATATAAGATGCAAGATGCAAGGCCATATAAGACGCATGGCCATATAAGACACCGGCAGCCATATAAGATGCAATAGGCGCATATAAGATGCACCGTGGCCATATAAGACACATGCGGCCATATAAGATGCAGCCATATAAGATGCATATATAGACACATGGCCATATAAGATGCACATATAAGACACATACAGGCCATATAAGATGCACAGACACATGGCGGCCATATAAGATGCACAGCGGCCATATAAGATGCAAGGCGGCCATATAAGACACCGGCAGCCATATAAGATGCACGTGGCCATATAAGACACATGGCGGCCATATAAGATGCACCATATAAGATGCACAGCGGCCATATAAGACGCATGGTGGCCATATAAGATGCACGCCATATAAGATGCACCGTGGCCATATAAGACACATGGTGGCCATATAAGATGCACAGCGGCCATATAAGATGCAAGGCGGCCATATAAGACGCATGGTGGCCCATATAAGACACACGGCAGCCATATAAGATGCACCGTGGCCATATAAGACACATGGCGGCCATATAAGACACACGGCAGCCATATAAGATGCACCGTGGCCATATAAGACACATGGCGGCCATATAAGACACACGGCGGCCATATAAGATGCACCGTGGCCATATAAGACACATGGCGGCCATATAAGATGCACAGCGGCCATATAAGACGCACGGTGGCCATATAAGACGCACAGCGGCCATATAGGCCTGGTAGAGGGAGGGACACTGAGAGATCAATGGGAGGAAGGAAAAGATGCCACCAGTCACAATACTTCACCAGTTATCAGGCACTGAAAAATCCTGTTCATGAATACAGTTTGAAAGTCATAAAACACACAAAAAAAAATTGTCTAATTTGTTAATTTGAAATGTCAGATAAAAACAAAGTAAACAAAAAACACTGTATCTTTATGTGCTGTAAAACCTTCATATAACCTGACTCTCATCTCTATATAGTTCATTATATAGAGGTTCACATCTAATGGACCCTCAATATAATGGACTTTCCTCTTCATATACTCCGCTAAATACAGATTGCACAGTACAGTTCTTCTAATTCTGGTAATTGTGGATAAAATTCTGAATGAGAAAACACACAAATACAAACCATCAACACTAAATAGGTCTAATGAGCCACCATCTTCCTCCAGCCACTGTGGTACAAGGTAGAGTATGAAGGCAATCCTACGTCCCTCTAACTCATCATCGTGACACAGAAGAACGTCTGAAATAGGGAAAACAAAACCTGAATATTGATTTCGTTGCTTCATAACTGACAGAATGTACCTCTTCAAAACACCAGCCAAATTGAGCTCAAATACTGTAGTTCAGATAGGGTGTGTGTACAAATGATAGGTGCTGAGGAATAGTTCAGGTAGGGTGTGTGTACAAATGATAGGTGCTGAGGAATAGTTCAGGTAGGGTGTGTGTACAAATGGTGAATAAGTGTGAGACATGAATGAAAGTCCTGAGGGTTCAAACCAATAGCGCAGTTGACACCAAGAATGAATCACCTGATACTTGGCTACCTCCCTCCCCTCCCTCCCAAATGCTCACCTGAAGTTTAACCCTTACCTTAACCAGCCTGAAGCAATCTGAGGGGGATAGCTAATCTTCAGGTAGGCCCAAGGATTTTTACTGAATGGTCGGCCTCAGCATATAGTGAACAGTGACTGGGTGAGAGGCAGCATAGTGTGAACAGTGACTAAGTGAGAGGCAGCATATAGTGAACAGTGACTGAGTGAGAGGCAGCATACAGTGAACAGTGATTGAGTGAGAGGCAGCATATAGTGAACAGTGACTGAGTGAGAGGCAACATATAGTGAACAGTGACTGAGTGAGAGGCAGTACTATCCAAAAAACTTTAATTATATTTGTAAAAGTCTGGAGTAGTCAGCATTAAGATCAGCATTATGGTAGGCATTAAAGTCAGCAACAAGGTCAGCATTCAGGTCAGTAATAAGTTCAGTATTAAAGTCAGCAATAAGATCAGCATTATGGTAAGCAACAAGATCAGCATTAAGGTCAGCAATAAGGTCAGTATTAAAGTCAGCATTATGGTCAGCAATAAGATCAGCATTAAGGTCAGCAATAAGGTCAGTATTAAAGTCAGCATTATGGTCAGCAATAAGATCAGCATTAAGGTCAGCAATAAGGTCAGTATTAAAGTCAGCATTATGGTCAGCAATAAGATCAGCATTAAGGTCAGCAATAAGGTCAGCATTAAGGTAAGCATTAAAGTCAGCATTAAGGACAGCATTATGGTCAGCAATTAGTTCAGCATTAAGTTTAGTAATAAAGCTTCTGGTGAAAATATTATAAGTTTTAACTGAGTGAAATTATTCTAAAAATGTAAGTGTGAGGCTGTGTAGCCTTTAACACCACAGACTGTACACCAAGAGGCATGAAAGTGTCCACTCATCAGTACAGTACGGTCAGAGTAACACACACACACACACACACACACACACACACACACACACACACACACACACACACACACACACACACACACACACACACACACACGCCGCATGCCTTTTGCATATGCATACACTGCACATACCCTTATATATACATATACGCGCTGGCATTAGCAAAGTAAGCCAAGGAGCACAACCTTGTCTTCTCTGGGGATAGAGGTTAGCACTCTGTCAAGGTCAGAGTAAAAGGCCTCCTTGAGGTCATCCTCCACATCCAGTGTTGGGGTGTATGCACTGATGATGAAGGCATGACGTGAGTGATTCAATGGGACTCGAAACGTCATGAGGCGCTCGTTGATCCCAATAGGCATTTCAGTTAGCCTGTGTAGGATGCATTGGTGGATGGCAAAACCAACTCCATAAATGCGGTTTCTCTCCGCAGTAGGCTTACCCTTCCAGAAGAAGGTGTACCCAGACCCCCATTCTGTGAGTTGGCCCTCATCTGGGAGCCGGGACTCACTGATGGCTGCTATGTTGATGTTCTACCTAGCCAGATCTTTTGCCACAAGGGCAGTTCTTCTTTCAGGATGCACATTTGTGCCAGTATCCAGAAGGGTCCTGACATTCCATGCAGCGACCATAAGAGGTTGTATGGTTTGCTTTTGTTTGGATCTGTGATTTTGATTGCGTTTTCGACCGCATAAAGATGATTGGGTTTTTAGATAGGCTATGTTTAGGGCACCTTTTCTAGCCCCCTCCCCATATGGGGTGAGCAGAGTGGCTCCCCGAAAGGGATGCTCAGTCGCACAGACAGAACCGGATTGCACTGCTGCCTAGATCGCAGTGCATAAACGACCATCTTATCGGTGCCTCCCATGTGCAGAGTTGTGACTATAGAGCATTTTTTCTCAGCTGAGGAAAGATGCCCCACCCCCTTCTCAAGAATTACAGCTGATTGGCAGCTTCAAACCTTTCCAATTTCATCCTGAAGTAATGATGTATTTCTAAATGAGTTTATTCATAATCGTTGGGATGACCGTTTCTGACGAGAAAGATATTTAGCTAAATTATAGAAAGATACATACATTTATTATTTCAAACATAAGCACATAGGAAGTTTATCAGAAGTATTAAATATGAATTAACTGTTAAACTCTGGTAGCAAATTCATGCTTTCGGAGGATACATTTAATATATACTTATTTTTACCCACAATAAGGCATACGATGACAAATTACATATTAGTAATACTACATTATACAAAAAAATAACATTTTAAAAGATTAGAACCACATTGAAATATTTACACGGCCGTCAGCAGAGGTGGGACATATGAAGTTGTTTGCATCTTTTCTCAGCTGAGAAAAAAATGCACTATAGAGACTCCCGGCAGTCATCTCTGTCTGTCCCTGAACCACTCATCATTCGCCATAGGACTTTTGGGGGTATACTGTAGAGGTTTTGATGATGATGATGAGAGGTATGATGAACTACACATCGTGGCTCTCCCTTTTCCTGATCCAGTGGTGCAAGTTTTGCAGTGACTGGGAAGAGGGAAAGTCACAATGGACTGCCGATAGCCCAGTTTGTTGGGTTTTGACTTAGCAGCCTGTCCATCAGGCATTGCCTTCTTCCGACGGTGTAGTTGTTGAGTTCCCAAGGTGGTCACCTTTCCCGCCTATACCGCCGTTGGGGTCTTGTTGGAGCTCTGTGCAGATTTTTCGTTCAGGGTTTACTCCTGTAGCCTTATACCTCACAAGGTTAATCCGCAAGGCAGCGGGGTGGTGGTTGGTAGGTGCTAGGATGTGTCCACATGCCAGTGGGCCTATGCACCCTCTGGGGCCCACTGATACTCCGAGATCCCCTGCTGGGGAGGCACAGCAGGAGTCTTCACATGGTGAAGAGGCTGTGCACTGGCAGGGAAGAATTATGCAAGTTGCTTCCCTGTTCACCACGAGGGCTACCCAGTGGCAATAGCTGAAAGCGAGAGGGATCAAGCAGTGCTTGCAAATTAACACTAACATAATGCTGCCACTAGATGCATTTCACCACCCTGTGTGTGCACAGACAGACAGACAGACACACACACACACATACACAGAGGTCCCTCATAACACCATATGTGAGGGAGTCACTACGCCACATCAGGTCCCTCATAACACCATCTGAGGGAATTACTACACCACATCAGGTTCATCATAACACCATCTGTGAAGGAATTACTACACTACATGATGCCCCTCATAACACCATCAGTGAGGGAACTATTACACCATGTGAGGTCCCTCCTAGCACCATCTGTGAGGGAGTTACTACACTACGTGTCTGCTGTTCAACACCTCAGTGCACATGATCTACGTGACCTCCACTGTAAACATTAATCTGTATGTTCACTGTATGTTCCTTTACCTTTCTCTAATGAAGGCTTTCCTTAAACCACCAATGTATGTAATAAGTCATTTATGTCCAATGTATATTTTCAGCCTTCGGGCTGCAGAACTTTTTCAATAAACCGTTAATTAAAATTATTATTACACACACACACCTGTATATTCATATCTAGAAGAGGTCATGTAGACATTATCATTGAGAGGTAAGCCCGTCACATCCACCAACCATCTTCGGAAGTCACCATATAAAAAGTTCCTCAGCGCTGCAATGTGTGGGCTGTTTACGTCATTCAGGTTGGAGGTTTGTCGAAACTGTAAAACATGAAGCACACTAACATAATCACAGTCATATATACATGTTAAGGAACTGTAAAACATGAAGTACAGTCATATATACATGTTAAGAACTGTAAAACATGAAGCACAGTAACATAATCACAGTCATATATACATGTTAAGAACTGTAAAACATGAAGCACAGTAACATAATCACAGTCATATATACATGTTAAGAACTGTAAAACATGAAGCACAGTAACATAATCACAGTCATATATACATGTTAAGAACTGTAAAACATGAAGCACAGTAACATAATCACCCAGTCGCCTCTCGTACATGTTAAGAACTGTATAAAACATAAACACAGTAACATAATGCAGTCATATATACATGTTAAGGAACTGTAAAACATGACACAGTCATATATACATGTTAAGAACTGTAAAAACATGAAGCACAATAACATAATCACAGTCATATATATACATATTAAGAACTGTAAAACATAAAACTGCAATAACACATAATCACAGTCATATATACATATTAAGGAACTGTAAAACATGAAGTACAGTAACATAATCACAGTCATATATACATGTTAAGAACTGTAAACGCAAACACAGTAACATAATCACAGTCATATATACATGTTAAGAACTGTAAAACATGAAGCACAGTAACATAATCACAGTCATATATACATGTTAAGAACTGTAAAACATGAAGCACACTAACATAATCAGAGTCATATATACATGTTAAGGAACTGTAAAACATGAAGCACAGTCATATATACATGTTAAGAACTGTAAAACATGAAGCACAGTAACATAATCACAGTCATATATACATGTTAAGAACTGTAAAACATAGGCTTTAGTAACATCTACAGTCATATACGTGCATGTTAGAACTGTAAAACATGAAGCACAGTAACATAATCACAGTCATATATACATGTTAAGGAACTGTAAACATGAAGCACAGTCATGCATGTTAAGAACTGTAAAACATATAGGCACAGTAACATAATCCACAGTCATATATACTGTTAAGAACTGTAAAACATGAAGCACAGTAACATAATCACAGTCATATATACATGTTAAGAACTGTAAAACATGAAGCACAGTAACATAATCACAGTCATATATACATGTTAAGAACTGTAAAACATGAAGCACAGTAACATAATCACAGTCATATATACATGTTAAGGAACTGTAAAACATGAAGTACAGTAACATAATTATAGTCATATATACATATTGACATAAAGATCTTTTGCATTAACTTAACTGTTAACTTATACTATAATTGCCACCTTTACAACCAGCACTCGCCATGGGCTACTAAGATAGTGGCCACCATGGGCTACCTAGATAGTGGCCACCATGGGCTACTAAGATAGTGGCCACCATGGGCTACTAAGATAGTGGCCACCATGGGCTACATAGATAGTGGCCACCATGGGTTACCTAGATAGTGGCCACCATGGGTTACCTAGATAGTGGCCACCATGGCTTACCTAGACAGTGGCCACCATGGGTTACCTAGACAGTGGCCACCATGGGCTACATAGATAGTGGCCACCATGGGCGACCTAGACAGTAGCTACCATGGGCTACCTAGATAGTGGCCACCATGAGTTACCTAGACAGTGACCACCATGGGCTACATAGATAGTGGCCACCATGGGTTACCTAGACAGTGGCCACCATGGGCTACATAGATAGTGGCCACCATGGGCTACTTAGATAGTGGCCACCATAGGTTATCTAGACACTGGCCACCATGGGTTACCTGGTATAGTGGCTGCCATGGGCTACCTAGATAGTGACCACCATGGGCTACCTAGACAGTGGCCACCATGGGCTACCTTGATAGTGGCAACCATGGGTTACCTAGACAGTGGCCACCATGGGCTACCTTGATAGTGGCCACCATGGGTTACCTAGACAGTGACCACCATGGGCTACATAGATAGTGGCCACCATGGGTTACCTAGACAGTGGCCACCATGGGCTACATAGATAGTGGCCACCATGGGCTACTTAGATAGTGGCCACCATAGGTTATCTAGACACTGGCCACCATGGGTTACCTGGTATAGTGGCTGCCATGGGCTACCTAGATAGTGACCACCATGGGCTACCTAGACAGTGGCCACCATGGGCTACCTTGATAGTGGCAACCATGGGTTACCTAGACAGTGGCCACCATGGGCTACCTTGATAGTGGCCACCATGGGTTACCTAGACAGTGACCACCATGGGTTTTTTACAAGGCATAGTGGCCACCATGGGCTTTACCAAGATAGTGACCCACCATGGGTTGCACCCAGACAGTGACACCATGGCTTCCCCATAGATAGTGACCACCATGAGCTACTTGAATAGTGTTCATCATAAGTTATCTAGACACTGACACCATGGGTTATCGAACACTGGCCACCATGGGTTGCACCTGGTATAGTGGCCTGCATGGGCTACCTGAATGAGGCTGACCACCATGGGCTGCCTAGACAGTGGCCTGTGGGCTACCTTGATAGTGGCAACCATGGGTTACCTGAACAGTATTACCATGGGCTACCTTGATAGTGGCCTGTGGGTTACTAGACACTGTACCATGGGTTACCTGGTATAGTGTGGCCTGCAGAATGTGCACTACCTAGACAGTGTCCTGCATGGGTTATCTGAACAGTGCCCACCATGGGTTACCTAGACAGTGGCCACCATGGGTTCTGCCTGCGTAGATAGTGGCCTGTGAGCTACCTGAATAGTGGCACCATGGTTTACCCGAATGAGCCATGGGTTCCCTAGACAGTGGCCACCATGGGCTGCACAAAAAATAGTGTCACCATGGTTTGCAAGCTGTGGCCACCATGGGTTACCTAGACAGTGGCCACCATGGGTTATGTAGATAGTGGCCACCATGGGCTACCTAGATAGTGGCCACCATGGGTTCCCTAGACAGTGGCCACCATGGGTTACCTAGACAGTGGCCACCATGGGTTATGTAGATAGTGGCCACCATGGGCTACCTAGATAGTGGCCACCATGGGTTCCCTAGACAGTGGCCACCATGGGTTATGTAGATAGTGGCCACCATGGGCTACCTAGATAGTGTCCACCATGGGTTACCTAGATAGTGGCCACCATGGGTTACCTAGACAGTGGCCACCATGGGTTATGTAGATAGTGGCCACCATGGGTTTTGTAGACAGTGGCCACCATGGGTTACCTAGACAGTGGCCACCATGGGTTATGTAGATAGTGGCCACCATGGGTTACCTAGACAGTGGCCACCATGGGTTATGTAGATAGTGGCCACCATGGGCTACCTAGACAGTGGCCACCATGGGCTACCTAGATAGTGACCACCATGGGCTACCTAGATAGTGACCACCATCGGCTACCTAGATAGTGACCACCATGGGTTCCCTAGACAGTGGCCACCATGGGCTCCCTAGATAGTGACCACCATGGGTTCCCTAGACAGTAGCCACCATGGGTTCCCTAGATAGTAGGCAGCAATAAAAGTGCCTCCCTCACACGTCCTCAACATTACCTTATATAAATCATTATTATTCATCACAAGCTCTATGTCCTGCAGCTCGTCCCTGACTCCTTCCAGAAAGTCGGCCTCTTTCAAGAAGTTTGGAAGAAAACAGCAAGTGAACGGGTCCTGTATAACCTCCAGTCCTGAACCTGGGGTGACAAAATGGATTTCATTATTTATCACAGCTAAAACTATTAATGATATACTATTAATATTTAATTTATCACACTTATCACATTTTTTCCCTTTAGTCAGCCCCCTGGTGTACTGTACTCTACACCAGTGGTTCTCAACCTTGTTTGCCCCATGCACCCCTTTCACCATATGTCAGAATGTCATTCCCCCCTCCTTTCCAAGATTGTCTGCCTCAAAAAGTGCATTCCAAATAATATGCATATAATACTGAAAATCCTTTATTTTTTCCATATTAGTACATATACATTTACAATTTTACATGGATTATTTTCATAGTGGAGTTTTACAAATTAAATGCCAATTGAAAATGTTGATGGATTTATAAAACTTGAATAAAAGAAAATAGTTTTTTTATATTTATAATGAATTACTTAACAGACCAAACTGAAGCATAATGCAAGAAACAAAAAGTTCAATAGAATACCAGGATATTGTAAATTTGTAATTAATTTTATTCAGATGAAGATTACAGTCAATGAGAAACCTGTGATTGTTTTTTCTTCGCCAATTCTGGGATACGCGGAGGAGTGCTTGAAAGGGCACAACGCAGATCATTTTCTACCTCTAATCTACTACGTTGCTTCGTTTTAATTTGCAACTGAGTTGAAAAGCCTGACTCACAAAGCTATGTCGACACAAACGGAAGCAATGCACGGATAGCTCTTTCTGCCACTTTTGGGTAGGAATCGCACATCAAGGGCCAAAATTCTGTGATTGATTTCTCATTGAACATATCTCTTGCTCCTGAATCAGTTTCTGAAAACCTGAATTCCTGGGGAATTCCTGGTTGAGAACCCCTGCTCTACACCATATCTTCCCTCTAGTTAGACCCTGGTGTACTGTACTCTACACCATATCTTCCCTCTAGTTAGACCCCCTGGTGTACTGTACTGTACTCTACACCATATCTTCCTTCTAGTTAGACCCCCTGGTGTACTGTACTGTACTCTACACCATATCTTCCCTCTAGTTAGACCCCCTGGTGTACTGTACTCTACACCATATCTTCCCTCTAGTTAGACCCCTGGTGTACTGTACTTACACCATATTTCCTTCTAGTTAGACCCCCTGTCTGTACTGTACTTACACCATATCTTCCCTCTAGTTAGACCCCTGGTGTACTGTACTTTCACAATATATCTTCCCTCTAGTTAGACCCTCTGTGTACTGTACTCTACACCATATCTTCCTCTAGTGACCCCTGGTGTACTGTACTCTACACCATATCTCCTCTAGTTAGACCCCTTGGTGTACTGTTCTCTACACCATATCTTCCCAGTCAGCCCCTGGTGTGCTGTACTCTACACCATATTTTCTCTAGTTAGGACCCCTTAGGGCCCTCAATGACTGTACTGTACACTACACAATATTTTTCCTCTAGTTAGACCCCTGGTGATGTACTCTAGACAATATTTTCCTCTAGTTAGACCTCCTCATGTACTGTATACATCATATTTTCCTCTAGTTAGACCCCCTGTACTGTACTTAGACAATATTTTCCTCTAGTTAGACCCCTCATGTACTGTACTCTACATCATATTTTCCTCTAGTTAGACCCTGGTGTACTGTACTCTACACCATATTTTCCTCTAGTTAGACCCCTGGTGTACTGTATTTAGACCCCTGGTGTACTGTACTCTACACCATATTTTCCTCTAGTTAGACCTCATGTACTGTCACCATATTTTCTCTAGTTAGACCCTCATGTACTGTCTCTACACTATATTTTCCTCTAGTTAGACCCTGGTGTACTGTACACACCTATCTCCCCTAGTCAGCCTCCTGGTGTACTGTACTACACCATATTTTCCCTGTTAGACCCCTCATGTACTGTACCTACACCATATTTTTCCTCTAGTTAGACCCCTCATGTACTGTACTCTACACCATATTTCCTCTAGTTAGACCCCTCATGTACTGTACTCTACACCATATTTTCCTCTAGTTAGACCCTGGTGTACTGTATTCTACACCATATTTTCCTCTAGTTAGACCCCTCATGTACTGCACTGCATACAATTCTCTAGTTAGACCCCTCATGTACTGTACTCGACACCATATTCCTCTAGTTAGACCCTCATGTACTGTACTGACACCATATTTTTCCTCTAGTTAGACCCCTCATGTACTGTACTCGACACCATATCTTCCCTCTCTAGTTAGACCCCTCATGTACTGTACTCTACACCATATTTTCCTCTAGTTAGACCCTCATGTACTGTACTTTACACCATATTTTCCCTCTAGTTAGACCCCTCATGTACTGTACTCTACACCATATTTTCCCTCTAGTTAGACCCCTCATGTACTGTACTCGACACCATATTTTCCCTCTAGTTAGACCCCTCATGTACTGTACTCGACACCATATTTTCCCTCTAGTTAGACCCCTCGTGTACTGTACTCGACACCATATTTTCCCTCTAGTTAGACCCCTCATGTACTGTACTCGACACCATATTTTCCCTCTAGTTAGACCCCTCATGTACTGTACTCTACACCATATTTTCCCTCTAGTTAGATCCCTGGTATACTGTACTCTACACCAGTGCTACTCAAAGTGTGGTCCGCGGACCGGTGCCGGTCCGTGAGCCATCGTCTGCCGGTACGCGGAGAGTTTTCAGAAAAGAAAGAAACGATAGTCACGTTCCACACCACGTGACACTGCCGGGACATCTGACTCGGTCTTTTTTTTTTTTACATTTTCTTTGTCGTTTTTATATTTATTATGGCTATATTTTTCATTTACTCACTCATGTTAAAAGTCATTGCTGTGCAACTAACGAATGCGATATAATGAACAGCAAAACAGCGCACTGAAATACGTATAACAACACCTTCATGATGATGTGGCGTTTGACTCTGTGGGAACCACACCTGGGGATATCAATAGAGCGCATCACCTTGTGTTGCCAGAATTGCCACGTTTCTCGGCCACCAGTTACGTCATATCCACCCAAAACATAAATCTTTTTATTTTAAGTATGGTAGTTATTTAATTTCGGAAAAAATAAATGTATGCATCCCATTAAAAGAAATGGCCGATTTTTTACTATGCGTGCCAGCCGTGAAGGGTGTCACACAGCTGGCAACCCTGCTATTCCACACGTGTGGATCAGCAGTCTGTGATGTCAGGTCACAGGTCAGTGGTTAGTTACCATCAAGAAGTGGAACAGAGCATCATACGGGTATCTGCGTGTTTGTCATTTGGGACCCCATCCCAATCCACTTTTATATTCATTATATTTTTCCTGTATAAAATAATATTACTACGAATGTTCAAATAATATTTTCTCTGATCGTAAACAATTAATTGTATGGCACAAATATGGTACTGGTCCCTGGCACACTGGGAAGACTTGTTACGTCAATGATGATTGGCCTTAGAATGAATAAGACATCATGTCTTCATGTTTAGTACAGATAGTCTCAAAATGCCCCTGAAATAGGACATATCTCAAAAGATTTTCCTGGGGGGGGGGGGGCCCTATAGGCCCCGGGATTGGCTCGCTTCGCTCGCCGGTCCGTGGCACATTGACAAAAAACCATGCCAGTCCGCCACATCAGATAGTTTGAGAAGCGCTGCTCTACACCATATTTTCCTCTAGTTAGACCCATGTACTGTACTCTACACCATATTTTCCCTCTAGTTAGACCCCTGGTGTACTGTACTCTACACCATATTTTTCCTCTAGTTAGACCCCTCATGTACTGTACTCGACACCACATTTTCCCTCTAGTTAGACCCCTCATGTACTGTACTCTACACCACATTTTCCCTCTAGTTAGACTCATGTACTGTACTCTACACCATATTTTCCCTCTAGTTAGACCCATCCTGTACTGTACTCTACATGTTATTGATGTCACCTCTTCTCTGTGATTGTCGTGGTACGTAGTTGGTGGTTGATCGGGTGCAAGTTTATAGCTCTTGAGAAATGATATGAAAGACATAACCCAGTAGGCAGTTTAAGCTATAAAATGGTATTCTCAGTTAAAATAATGTGATTGTTGAATTCTTATTCGACAATGACCTCACCAGCCTGAAGGATAATCCACCCCTGACAACATAACATGACGCATTACACATCATAACACAACACAATACATCGTAACATAACACATCAGAATACAACACATCATAACAAAACATAACACAACACTACACAACACATCATAACACAACACATCAGAATACAACACATCATAACAAAACATAACACAACACTACACAACACATCATAACACAACACATCGCACCACTATACAGCACATCATAACACAACACATTGTAGCACAACACATCATAACACAACACTATACAAAACATCATAACACAACACATCATAACACAATGCATCATAACACAACACATCATAACACAACACATCATAATACAACACATCACAACACAATGCATCATAACACAACACATCGTAATACAACACAACACATCATAACACAACACATCATAATACAACACAACACATTCAACTGGGACAACTTCTACGGCAGAAGGGACCTTTATGCTAGGGATGGGTGACACCTGTCTCGGGATGGGGTGGCAACCCTGGCGGGGTCTCTAGAGGGGGCAGTTCAAAAGATATCGAAGTCTTTAAACTGCTCGGGGAACATATGGGCACGGGGGTGGAGGAGACTGCAGTGGGAGCGGGTAAACAAAGAAAAAGATTACAGGGAAATAGTGTTAGGAATGATGACAAAACTAAATTAGACAGGGAGTTTAAACCTAAACGCGGTAAAGGGAGGACTCAGAACACGACTACCTTAAATGTCTACATCTCGGCTTATAAGACGGAATTTGAACATTAAAAAAATCTGCCCAAAGTTAGGGGGTCGTCTTAATCACCAAGTATAAAATTCTTACCTCTTAAATATTGCGTGTCAAGAGTGGTGATGGAAACATGGTAAACCACTCACAAAGTCCTACCAGGGA